AAGGGGGAACCCGTGCAAAAATTCCCTTTAGGCCCATAATTACCAGGGCTGTCCCCATCAAGGAAAACTCCTCAATGTAACAACATCAAAGGATATAATACATGCAAATGTCTATTTAAATTGAGAGCACTGTGCTGGGAAGGGTTGAAATAGGTGAGTCTTTCATTTGAAAGTATCCCTGGCTGAGGAGAAGGAAATCAAAACATGGATAATGTGCAGTTGAATCTTGTATTCAAGAGGCACAATGTCTGTGAGCTCTAGATCAGTGGTTCTCAACCTTCCTAATGCCGCGACCCTTTAATACAGTTCCTCATGTTGTGATGACCCCCAACCCTAAGAGCTCTCCAAGCACGCACCGATGCCGCCCACTCACCCGCCGCGCCCGGGGCTCAGCGCACCTTGCCTGTCCTTGCCTCACTTCCGAAGGTTGCCGGCCTGCCCGGCTCCAGCTGGCCGGGGAGAGGGGGCAGGTTGGAGAAGTGCCCAGGTGGGGAGAGGGAGGGAGGGAGGGAGGGAGAGAGAGAGAGAGAGAGACAGAGAGAGAGACAGAGAGAGAGACAGAGAGAGAGCCAAGAGGGTGACAGCGCCAGCAGAGCTTAGTTCAGCCTCTTCTGCGGAAAGGGCCGCGAAGCAGCGCAGCCTCCCTTAGGAGATGCTTGACAGAAACGAATCCGGCGCTGCAACGGCTCCCAGCTCGAACCGTGCGGAAACAGATAGAGGAGCGGTATCTCAGTTCCTAAGACCACCGGAAATATGTGTTTTCCCATGGTCTTAGGTGACCCCTGTAAAAGGGTCATTCGACCCCCAAAGGGGTCGCAACCCACAGATGGAGAACCACTGCTCTAGATGCTGGAGGGTTGGGGGGCACTAAGAAGAGAGAGGGAGATCAGAGGACACCCCTTTTCCTCCACGTCTAGCCTCCTGCTGCTGAAGTATTAAGACCCGTTTTGGTATGTTGGCATTTGAAGTAGGAGTTCTCTCAAGCTCTTCACTTTGGAAGAAAAAAGCACCAATCTTTTCACAATGCCATATCTCAAAAGTAGCAACTCATTGCTCCCTGCACTTAGGATTCCTGCGGTAACTTACATGTAGTGCTCAGCTTACGGCCAAAAGTGGGACCAGAATTTTCATTGCTAAGCAAGGTGGTTGTTCAGTGTGTTGTGCCCAGTTTTATGACCTCTTTTGCCATGGTGGTTAAGCAAATCACTGCAGTCATTAAATGAGTCACATGAAATGAATCCAGCTTTCTCCATTGTCTTTGCTTGTCAGAGGCCAACTGGGAAGAGCTTAAATGGTGAACACATGAGATGCCCGGCCACTGCAGCCATCACAAATACGTGTCAATTGCCCAGGGCACAAATTTTGATCTCATCAAAATGCTGTGGAGATGCTGTGATGGTTGTACGTGCAAGGAGGACCAGTTGAGAGTAACTTTTTAAAAATATTTTATTAGTTTTCTAATTTTACAATTAAGTAATTAAAAAAACAGTGTGGTGACAGAGTTAATCAATAATTCAATAACATACATAAATCTTTAGTACAAATCTCAAGTTACAACATCAGATATTTCCTCTTTTCCCCTTAATATCTACTATCTCATATTCGGCTAATATAGTTGTTATTATTATCAACTAAGTAAAAACATCATTGTTACATTTATCAATAATTTTTAGCTTATACATATCTTAATTGTGTTTACATTCAATCCTTATATACAATCAATGTCCTGTTATTGCTTTTCCCCCAAGCTTTAATTTCCCATTAATATTCAAATTAACATTTGATATTTATAATTTCCAAGTTTTAGCTAACCAAAGTTTCCCTTATCTCAACTTCTTCCTTTTTCCCATTTCATAACAAAATCTAATATTCTAAATACACATCTTATCTATTTGCATATTATCTTGTTCTGTTTTCTAAAAGTTATCTATTTTCCACCATATTAAACCATCTAATTAATAATACAGTATCCCCTCTAATAAATCAAAACCATTATATGTATTGTCTGGGTTAACCAATAAATCAATAATATACATACATTTTTTCCTTTAGGTCTAATTTTTAAGAAATCAAATACTCCCTCTCTGGTAATATCTATTATCTCATTTTAGGCAAGCAGAATTCTTATTTTCAATTGATTTTCAAATATTTTAAATTAGGTGACCAAAATTTCCCTTATCTCAACTTCTCCCTTTTTCCCTTTTCATACCAAAGTCTATTAGTCTTGTTGCAATTATGTTGCTTTATTTTCTAAAAATTATCTATTTTTCACCATATTCAACCCTCTAATTAGTAATATGAAATCCCCTCTAATAAATCAAAACCCTAGTTTTCTTCAGCCTTACTCTGACTTTCTTCCTTTGCCAACTAACCTTCCATGTCAGTACTTTTGATTCATCAAATAGTTCTCCCTCTATTACATATATTATTTGAAATAAGAAAGACCATTTGGTTGCAGTTTTTTTGGAAGAACTAACCAATTGTATTCATTAGATCATCTCTCTGTTACTCCAATTTCCTGCAATTGTCCTGATAGGTTTATCTTTCATTTAATTTGTTCTTCCTTTTCCTCAAATTTTTTCTGATTTATGTAAAAAGTCTTTTCCATTTTCAATGTTGTTACTCCCTTTTCTGATTTTTCGATTGGCTGGATCTGTTGGTCAACTGATTCCTCTGTCTTAGTATTTAGTTGTTCCACTTCTCCTGTTATTTTTTGCATTGTTAGTTCTTTGGTTGTAGTCAAGATCTGGGTTTGTATATCTAAGCTGGCATCTTGTTCCTTTATGTTGCATCTTATTTGTCACAAGCTGAAAAAATGGTTTCATGTATTGATTTCAACATGGAAAGGATTTTTTCCTGCTCTTCATCCATATTCTCTTGATAATGTGTTAAGTTGAAGACTTTAAAATCAAACATTAAAAATAGTTTTTTGTTTTTTATAACTAGGTATGAGACATCAATTTCACATGTTGTAGGTAGTCTTTATACTGAAAATTGTTTGCCAAATAAGAATTTATAGTCCAAGGTATTCCATCATCTTGTGTAATAACAGATGCTTCTCATGTTAAGAAATAGGAAAGCAATTCCCCATGTATAGCTCTGGAAGTCAGTAAAGGTTTACATTCATAGTTCAAACAAGCCAGATATGTCACCCAGAAGTTCCTTCTTTGCAACTTTTTCACAGGTGGTATCCGTCAAGGTCAGAAAAGTTTTTTCTAGAGTCTGGGTTTCAAGCCAAGTCTCTTTTAGGCAATAACAAATTGTAATACCATACCTAGCCACAAGATGTCACCGATGCCATTTAAAGCTTTTTAAGTCCAAAGTTTTTATGATACTTTTTCAAGTTTTATTTCTTTTTTTTTAAATAAAAACAAACGTCTCCAGTAAGAATAGGAAAACTTTTAGTACCCAAGTTTCAAAAGCATATACATCCAATTAGATTAATATTGTTCTTATAGTTGCTCTGATTCCCCTGGGTAGTTAGTCACTGCTTTTGTTAGAGGGTGGGGTAAAAGTTCCCTTCCCTCTCTCCTCACAGGGGGAAAAATACTTTGGGCAATTTTTACAGGAAAAGATATTTAAAGTCTTAAAGAGAAGATCAGATCTCACCCAGTTTCATCTGCATTGCTTTAAAGGTGCTTGGTGGTGATTTTGACTTCGGCTGTCAGCAGCTTAATGACGAGCCTGATTGCTATGGCTAGTCTTTCCCCTGCCAGTTTGGAGGGCTGCCCCGGATCAAACGGAAGGGCTGCTGCCCTCCCGCAATCAAGAGAGGGTCCCCTCCTTGCTCATCACCCCATACAGGGCGACTTTTGACCCCTTCCAGGGTCCCCCAGCAGGATGAATTCGGACATGAAAGACAGAGCTCGTCTTCCAGAGTCTGCGGTGCCATGATGGCAAACCAGAAGTTGGGAATAACTTTTTCCAGTGTCCTTGTAACTTTGAACATTTGCCAAACAGATCATTGTAAGTTGAGAATTACCTGACCTATGCTTAACATTTGGGTGATTTCAAAAGTTTTGTACAGCCCCATCATGCTGGTTTTTTTGTGTGGGACTGTTGGGAACAGTAGTCAATATCTCTGGAAGGAGCCAAATTGAAGAAGATGCACAAGATGCATTCCTTCCTCCCTCACTCTACAATTATAGGCATAATACAAGTGCCAATTAAAGCAAACTAAAATGCTGCCTACAGTACAGCTTTTCTTGTAATAAATACTCTCCAAATGCCTTAGGCCTACAACTCCCAGAATTCCTAGGTTGGGTAAAGCTTACATAGAATCTTCTCCTGTGTGCATCTGCCTCACAGACCACAAAAGGTTGAATTTCAATGTTTGTGTCCTTCTCCATGCTCTTGAGTACAAGAGTTTTGAGTTATCTGTTGGGAGTAGTTGAATACTACCATTAGCAGGAATCTCAGTTTACCAAATTTGGTTGCTGAGGGGTGTGTTACCCCCCCAACTTAGAATATTATGATTCTAGCATTGACGCTGTGCCTTGGAGAATTGAATAGGGCCCGAGGCAACAGAGCACAGATTTGGTGTTGCATTTTTCCACCATTCACTCAGCAATCTATGCTCCTGGGTCAAACAGTAGAAACTGCAAGTCATCTTAGGCTAGATATTTTTCCGTAGTCTCACATCCTCCAGTTCTCTTTGCTGGCTATGGGAGGTAAAGTCCAACATGTCTGGATGATATTAAGTACTCTTAAGTCCTTAAGTACTCTCCAAAGAAGCAGGCATTTTCCATGGTGTTTTTTTTTTTAATTTATGAGTAAATTGATCTCTGCAGCTTCCTTCTTCCTCAAAACTGAGTTCTTTTGAGCACAAAATACCACTCCAGTCCCTGCCTGTCTGCGTGTGGTTATGCATGCCCTCTGCCACAGTCTGGCAGATTTTTTTTTTTTTTAAAGCAGTATCCTGCCCTCTGCTGATGACTCACCTTGCCTGGGCCAGCAGAAGCATGCTCCCTTTTTATTCCTCCTTTCTCTCCCTTTGACAGTAACCATCTGCCGTCCTCCATCTAGGAATTCCTGATGGGACTCAGAGCCAAGTGATTTCCCTTGGAGGCAAGAGACAAGGTGAACTTCCCCAGAAGACATGGAGGTGAAGGGGCAGCTGATAAACTCATCCAGCTATAGCTCTTCAGGTAATTCCCTTCCCTCCACCACCTGTTCAGCAACATTTCTGTGACATACAGTGGATCTCAAGTCTCATCCCTTGTTCTCTGCTCTGTCTTTGCTTCTGCAGAAGCTTTGCAGCGAGAGTTCTGTCCCCGAATTCGGCTAGAGCGGGTGCAAGAACTCCTGGAAAAGCAGAAGTCTCTCCAGCAGGTGCTCAGCCTACGCCTGAAGGAGCTGCGACGGGTTTGCCTTCAGGAAGCGGTGTGTAACCATGACAGGAGGAGGAGGAGGAGCCAATGGGAGGGACTGAGGCAGTGGATCTGCTGCTTTGAGAAGCTAGACGTTCCCAACCTGGGGGACTACGATGTTTGTTAGGCCGTCATTCCCATCACTATCGCTGAGCACTGGCCAAACAGGCTTTGTAGTCCAGGACATCTGGAAAGCACTATGTGAGACTAGGCTGAGGAATGCAGCCAGCCTTGAATTTAAAAGTTTTCTGCTCTGTGTCAGAGTTCAAACTCTTTGAGGGTTTTAGTTTTAATCAGGTAAGTTGTGAGCAAATGCTCCCGAAAACAAACAAGGAATGGGCAGCTGAAAGTCTAAGCTACTGAGGGCTTGGAAGTCAACATTCTGCAGAAATGTAAGCAGGAAAAAGACTGGCTGAGTTTCTTCAAGAAGCAATAACCTAAGGAGATGCCACCTCAGAAAGGTGTAAATCAGGCCAACCCACGTGGCCTTCTCCAGCTCTCTGCTCTCCAAATATTTTGGAATATAACTCTTATCCTCACTGGCCAGGCTGGCTGAATATTAAGAACGGATCAGCATGGCTTAAACCCACCAGATTCAGGAAGGCAAATGTATGTGAGACGGTGATTTCCAATGAACCCAAATGGCTTTCCTTGGGCTAAATTATTATCTGTAAAGTTGAAGAGTTTCTTATAAATGCTGTGAAGTTTCTCTCCTTGGGCCAAATCTAATATCAAGTGAGACTGACTCTTGTTTTCACCTCTGGATCTCATACCTATTTCATGTTGCTTGCTTCTCCTCTCAATGCCAGGAACTGACAGGAAAGTTGCCACCAGAATATCCCCTGGAACCCGGAGAAAGGCTGTGGCCAGTGCGGAGGAGAACAATAGTGGCATCCCGAATTGCCCCTGTCTTGAAGAATGAGGTGAGCAATCCGTCTTGCGCGTAAGAGAATGAGGGAGCCCGTACATCTCTGTGGGAGGAGGCCTGTGGGTTTTAGGGATGCTCCTGATGCCATAACCCTATCTTTAATTAATTTATATATCAAATTTGGAGACTGCCCATCTCACTCAAAGAGCAATTCTGGGCGGTGTTCAGTTAAAACCTAAAAACATAAACATATAAATATGTGTCATTATAATGCGTTCTATTACGTGTTAGCATAATATATGCTAATAGTTTATATGTTAATATATGTTATTATAAGATCTTAGGCATATTATGTGTGTGCTATATATAACACCATCTACATGTTATATTTTTAGGAAAACCCTTCTCTGGAGGAGCTGACCCAGGATCTGGCACTGCAGCAACAAGTGGCTGAGGCTGCCCGACGGCTAGCGGTTGCCCCCGACTTAACCGTTGATCAGCGCCGGCGCCGGCGGCAGGTCCAGGCAGATGCTGCTCAGCGCCTGCGGGAGCTGGAGGTCCAGGTAGTAGAATGCCGGGCGCGGCTGAGCAAAGGACCCCTCCAAAGGGTTGGCCTCGGTGAGTTATGCCGGTTGTTTAGCCGATTGCTTAATCAATTTATCAGTTGCTTCGTTGGCCACAGCAATGCTAGGCAACAAACCGGAGTATAATGGACATGGTTTAAAAGCACAAGCAGGGAGGGAAAAGGAATCGGTAAGGATTTTAACAAACTACAAGAGCCAAAAAAAAAACCCATTGTTTCAGTCTCAAAAGCAGGCTCCCATCCATCCTGCTGAAAGAAACTCTCCTTGTGGCCTTCTTAAAGCACAGCAGGGTGAGAGGACTTGATGGGGATGCTGTTCCCCAGGGCAGAGGCAACCCCCGAGAAGACCTGTCTCTCAGGCCCCATAAGATAGCGTTATTTAAACTACAGAACCTTTTAATCCCTTCTAATTTTCCAAACATCCCAAATATTCTTATCCTCCGCCCTAGATACTTCATTAGAAAGGCTGGCCATTATTCAGCTCAACAGGGACTCAAATTCTAGGGGAAAATGGCAGGTGGGGGGGGGAACATGCTCCAAAGAGGAGTTTGTGGGAGGTTTCAGGATATCAGGGGTAGGCAACCTTGGCTCTTTTATGACTCGTGGACTTCAACTCCCAGAATTCCATGGCTGGCTCAGGAATTCTGGGAGTTGAAGTCCACGAGTCATAAAAGAGCCAAGGTTGCCTACCCCTGAACTAGAGGAAGATGGGACTGTTCCCCTGCTCCACGTTGGAATTCTTTCAGATTGACAGCCAGCATGGGGTACTGTTCCAAAACTTTTAGGGATCTTTTTTTTTAAGACTTTGAACATAAACACATTATTTTAGTGGTGAAGGTATTGACTGGGAGTAGGGACACCGAGTATTTAGTTCCTCCTTAGACCCAGAATCCTACTGGGTGATATTAAGCCATTTGCTCTCTTGCTGTGCAGCCTGTCACAAAAGGTAGGAAAAAATAAGAGGGGGAAGCACTATGTATGCCATCTTGAACTCACTAAAAGATGGGATATAAATAAAACTGATTGAAAAAAAAAACCCAAATAACTCAACAAATTGAAAGTCTTTAAAAAAAATCTACTTGCCACACACAGAGCAATTTGGAGGGGCACTTGAGTGTTCTGTGGAAGCATCATAGTGTTATATTCACTTCCTTTTTCAACTATAAAGATACTTGCCTAAGCACTGATGATTCCTCTCGTGTTGGAAAAAGTATCATTGGCAGCAACAGCAGCGTAAATTTATATGTGAATCCCATTGAATGAGTAGCACAGGACCCATCACTGCTCAGCTGATATATTACATCAATGGGTCTCAACTTGGACATCTTTAAGATGTGTGGACTTCATCTTCTAGAACAGTGTTTCTCAACCTTGACAATTTTAAGGCATGTGGACTTCAACTCCCAGAATTCCACAGTCAGCATTGCTGGCTGTGGAATTCTGGGAGTTGAAGTCCACATGCCTTAAAATTGTCAAGGTTGAGAAACACTGTTCTAGAATTTCCCAGCCAGCTGGGGGGAGCGAAGTCAACACATCTTAAAAGTTGCCAACATTGAGAAGCACTATTTTTTTTTTAATCTTCCCACTTTCTCATCCATTTCTTTTTTATTCTCTCTTTTTAAGAAGAGGCATTTCACTCGGAGAGCAGCTCCCTCTCCGAATCAGCCAGCCATGAAAATGGTAAGCATCTCCTCATTCTCGGGTCAAAGAAGAGCGCTTGATGGTCTGAGAGAAACAGATACAAACTACATTTCTGACAAATAAAATGGTCTGAAAATTCAACATTTCTTAGATATTCTTGTCATCTGATTCTTGAGGGATACTGAACGATGAGACAAAGATGCTCTATATATGTGCAGAAAACGACATTTACCAACTAATGGACTGATACAAAACCACATGGGCTGTGCATGTGTGTACATGGTTGTCTCATTTAATGTATGCTTTGAGACAATATAAGGTCAGTATTTCGCCTTACAGTTATGTCTCCACCTGGAGGGGAGAATCTGGAGACAGTTACTCATGCCTTAGTTAGCACTCTTAGGATGGATTACTGCAATGTGTTGCATATAGGGCTATCTTTGAAGACTACCTGGATGCTACTATTAGTACAAAATGCAGCAATCCTCCTGCTGAAAGCTGAGAAGTACTTACTGTATATACAGTAGCATAGCATTATTGCAGGCACAGTGTTGCCAATGGCCTTCTGAATATAGTTCAAGGGACTGGTTTTAAATGTTAAAAGTCTGGTTTTCAGTGTTAAAACATGAAGTTGTGGATGGCAGGGGATAACATTTTTGAGTCTTTACTTGACTCCGTGGAGATCAGGAGGGTTCTGTTAAAAGAGAATTGTGAAAACAGTTATTTCTTTTTTGAAAAAAAAAGTTTTTTTATTTATAATACAGTTAAAACAAAAATGGACATAACGTGACATTCCAGAATAAATATTCCTAACAATTTGTTCCTCTTAATACATATAATTAATACATCATTCTTAATCTCTAAATAAACTTATTCTTCTATACAATACAATTATATATACATATATGTATTTCTGTCTTAACACTAGCTTGAAGCCCGAGCAGTTCTCCTTAATTCATATCAGTAATAAAATTTGTCCCAGATTTCAAAGTAGTCTGATTCTGTCTTATCCTTCATCTCCATTGTGAGCCTATCCATTTCAGCACACGATAAAATTTTATATAAAATCTCTTCTTCTGTTGGAATTCCTTTATTCCTCCAATTTTGAGCGTATACCAATCTAGCAGCCGTGAGAATGTGTAACATCAAATAGAATACCCCTTTGTCATATTTCTGCGTGGTTATGCCTAGTAAAAAGAGTTCTGGTTTTAACTCTACCACTAGCATTAAAATTTCTTCCAGCCACTTTTTAACCTTATTCCAAAAATCAGGGGCTCGTGGGCACTCCCACCATATATGATAGTATGTCCCAGTTGCCAATTTACATTTTCAACATTTGGAAGAAGCATTTGAACCCATTCTAGCTAATCTTATGGGTGGGTGGGAGATGCCATCTATAGAACATTTTGTAAAGATTTTCTTTGTAGGAGGTGGCCAGAGTGAGCTTCCTGTTTCTTGCCCATAGTTCTTGCCAGATGTGCAGATCAAAGTTGAGATCAAAATCCCTACTCCACTTTAAATGGTCTCTTTTACCTGTTCCTTATACATTGCCTGGTCTAACAAATAATGATATGGTTTTTTAATCATTTTATCCTCCGTATCTAATAATATTTTATCCAGCCCTATCGGTTCTAATTTTATGCCTAACTCTTTTTTATCTTTCCAATATCTCGCCTGTAATTGAAGGTATGCCCACCATTCTAATTCTATTGCTTCATCTTGAAGAATTTTCCTGGGTTTCAATTCCCCTCTCTCGTCTAGAACATTTTTATATGTTATAATCTTTCCCAGTTGGATAAACTTTAGATGTACATGCATTTCTAACAATGAGATCCAACTAGGGACTTGAGTATAATTTGGTTGCCAGATTTTAACCCATACATCAATTAGAGCTTGTCTAATATAATGCCTTTGGAAATATTTGTGTGTCTTATATTTATGATCCCATAACATAGCGTGCCATCCTATTTGTAAGTCATGACCTTCCAGACACAATAATCTCCTGTTCTTTAGTAATGTCCAATCCCTTACCCATAGTAATACTATGGCCTGATAATATTGTGAAAACAGTTATTTCATAGAGCTTTTAATCTATAAGGTTTCTGGAATTTTGGATGCAAAGGAAGGATTATTTTTTATGGTATTAATTGTTTTATATGAATATACTGCAGACTCTTAAGTGTTTGGGCAGAGGTGTGAGGTCAGAGGGGTATAAATATTGTAATAAGTATTCAAAGCAGAATTTGGGAGTTAATTTAACCATCGTTTGGAGCCAGGATTCTTGAGTTTTATGATGGCTTGAGCATAGAAAACAAGAATTACCCAACACCATCTTCAAAATGCTTGAGCTGCGAGACCCTTGAAAAGTCTTCAAAAGGATGTTTAGACACTCTCATACGTAACTTGGGCACCACAGCTTCTTATTCTGCTTCCTATACAATGCTAAGTTGATAATTTTAATTATCAGCCTAAGAGTTTCTCCCATAATTTAGTTTTGTATATGTGTTCTATGGACATGTTTATATCTAGAAACAGTTTCCCCAGGTGATAGTTGTTTGTTTAGAAAAGAAGCTAGAGTTTTGAGACTATTGGATTTTTTTATTGTGGTGGTGGTTCTATTTTGGCCAGGATGGGGATGTACAGATGCTTCTAAACTATGTACCATCTTCTGTCCTCAGATGACCCTCGCAGCTTCCATCCCTCCAAAGTCTCCAACCACCAGGGAGCTTTCCCAGACAGATCCTCACCTCCCAAGGCCCGAGATCACCTACGTGCCATCTCTAGCAGTCCTGACCGCCGACCAGGCTGGCGAATTTTGCAGCCAGATCTGTACAGTGAGGCCAAGGATCGCAGGAACTCTGTTGCCAGCCCAACCAGGTTAGCAAAAGATGCTGGGAAGCTGGGCTGAGCAGACGGGGAGAAAAGCAACCAGACTGACCTGTCAACATGAATATAGAATCTTGCGTGGGCTTAGAGGACTGATTTACAAATGCAACAAAATGAGCTGATGTAATTACTTAATATTTTGTTTGTAAAATAATTCCTGGTCAGCTTTGCAGGTAGTGGAAAACAAAAGTGAAATAGACTAGATTCTGAGTGCCTGTAGTCCAGTGGTTCTCAACCTGTGGGTCGGGACCCCATTTGGGGTCAAACGACCATTTCACGGGGGTCGCCAAACAACGCAGTCCACCATTTTTTCCCCCCTTTTCCTTAGCTGTGCTACTCCCTTTTATTCTATTGGCTTTTGAAAGCCAATAGAATAGACTCTCTTGAATAGAATCTAATTCTATTGGCTTTCAAAAGCCAATAGGAATTGTCCAGGCTGTCTCTGCCCTGCTGAGCCCGCCAAAAGTCCCATTCTGCAAACGGTGCTGCACCAGTTGAGTAGTCCTTGACTTACGACCGGTTGAGTAGTCCTCGACTTACGACCGGTTGGGGGGGGGGTCGCAGCATTAAAAAGGTTGAGAACCACTGCTGTAGTCTATTTTGATAGGATGAATTCTTTTCCTGTTTTTTTTTTTTTTAACCATACAGAAGAATTCGGAAATCTGCTAATAGAACAGTGGTTCTCAACCTTTTTAATGCCGCGACCCCCAACCGGTCATAAGTTGAGGACTACTCAACCGGTCGTAAGTTGAGGACTACTCAACTGGAGCAGCACTGTTTGCAGAATGGGACTTTTGGCGGGCTCAGCAGGGCAGAGACAGCCTGGACAATTCCTATTGGCTTTTGAAAGCCAATAGAATTAGACTCTATTCAAGAGAGTCTATTCTATTGGCTTTCAAAAGCCAATAGAATAAAAGGGAGTAGCACAGCTAAGGAAAAGGGGGGAAAAATGGCGGACAGCGTTGTTTGGCGACCCCCGTGAAATGATTGTTCGACCCCAAATGGGGTCCCGACCCACAGGTTGAGAACCACTGCAATAGAAGGACCGTTAAAATAACACTATCCCAGAAGTTTTCTGGCTTGCTCGGTTGGCTGTGTAAGATTGGTCCATTGTGTCTAGATTAGGGGCGTCCAACCTTGGCCACTTTAAGCCTTGCGGACTTCAAATCCCAGAATTCCTCAGCCAGCATGGCTGGCTAGGGAATTCTGGGAGTTGAAGTCCACAAGACTTAAAGTGGCCAAGGTTGGACGCCCCTGGTCAAGATTTCCACTTATGGTTAGGAACTAAAGTGGAAACTAGTGACTACGGACAACAAGGGAAGGAGCAGAAAATCTCATCCAGCTGATCCCTCTCCCTAGAGCTTGTGTTTTGTGAAGATAAGTGGGATCGAACCCTTCCTTCTCAGGAAAATGGGGGAGAGGGGAGAAGGCAGCCTAGAGAGGGCAGCTTTTAAGCTGCTTCTGCAAACCAAGCTGAGCTATTTCCATTTGTGTGACCCAGCTCTTGGAGCACATTGTTTTTTTGAAACTGGGATCTTCCTCTTGCTGTAAGTGTTTGCACACGTGTGAGTCTGCAACGTGGCTCTTGAAACACAAAGAGCTGAACCCACTCATTTAAAAAGGATCCTTGTCTGTTTTTATACAGCCCCAATCGCACCCTCCCCAGAAGCATGTCCAGCTTTGAGGGCCGAAGCGTCCCAGCTACTCCCGTGTTAGCAAGAAATGCATGCACTGGAAATCATCAATTAAGGTAGCCTATTCCCCTTTCTTTCCTTTTTCTCCCGACTGGGTTTGCTTGTAGGCTGCAGGCCGACGGACAGTGTTTGTTTTACTATTTTTCTTTCTATGCAGTAACTAGCAATTTGAAGCACAGTAAATTGTTGCTCTGCTTTGTGTCAAACTGCACTTAACTGAGCCTTTAAATGCAGGGTTGGGTTGGACAAGGCATCCAAAGGGATGTTTGGGGGAATTGGCTGTGGGTAGCAAGAAAAGGACAAAGATCGGTTTTCAAAGATCCTGCAAATTAATCATGAAGACAGCAGTGCCTATGCTGCTTTTAATCAGCCTTTCTCATCCAGAATCTTGCAAACTTTTGCTAACTTTTTTAGCGCACATACATGGGAGGAACACTTTAGCATTACTCCCCCAAAGTGGAGTGTTTCTGCTTGAACTTCCTACTCTGGGCATGGCTCAAGTTTGGAAGGGGAAGACTACATATAGCACTAGTCCTAATATTGTAATGGTAATTCCTGCAGAGAATTGAGACCTACCATTCTCGTCTTCAGAGGGCGAGGAATCTTGAATTGCTCCAGTCATGCTGGATGGAGACTAACAGCAGAGTTATTTAACCCAGTCCACCCCCTGACCAAAATAAGTGGATTGAAAAAGAAACAAAGCTAAATGCAACAGGCAAAACAACTATTCTATAGATGAATATTTAGGATATGGAAGAAATTCTTATTCCCCTCCCCCAATAATGCATGTAATGGCAGATCTTATATTTCACAGATTTCCAGCATAAAATTAAAAGCAATATTTTCAACTCTATTTCCTCCCAGGTCAGAGGCCCCATCTCTCCACTCCCGCCAGTGGTCAGGTAGCCACGATTCCCAGCTTGGCCCCCCTAGCCGGGACACCAGTGCCGACAGAGCTTCTCTCTTTGCTGCTCGGACCCGTCGAAGCAACAGCTCTGAGGCCTTGATTGAACGGGCCCCTTCAGAGGATCCCCTCCTGCCCACTGCCCCTCCTTTTAAGAGTGCCGAGGCCCTGACTCCTTCCACCTCTGGCCGGACCCCTCGCCCACCTTACAACGATCTCCTGTTGGACTATTACCTGGAACGCCGGAGCTGTGGGGGTGGTGAGCATTTGTCTCGCAGGGATGGGCCTCCCCAGCTAGAGTGGGGAGCCTTTTCTGAAAGCCCGCTTCAGCGCCGAGCCCGACCTGCGGCCCGCACTAAATCCTGCGGGCCGCTGCTGCCTCCCCAGTCCCGTGAGGTTGGTTATGGACCCCCCTTACCCCCTCATCGCAACTTCCACAAAGCGCTTGCTCTGGAAGGGCTCCGGGACTGGTACTTACGCAACGCTGGAGTTACCCAACGTGGGGCACCCGAGAGGCGAGGACCATCTCAGTCTGTACATCAGCACCTGCGCAGCTACTGTGATCCGGGACCCTCCCACCCCGACGTGGGATATTACGGGGGGCCAGGAAGCGGGCTGCCTCACTCTGTGAGCTATGCGGGCCAGCCGCTCTATGGCAGGTATGCAAGCCGATTTCTTCCTTTGCCCTGACAAGCTCAGCACGCCCTCCTCCTTCCCTCGCTTGCCTAAGGCCAACCCTGTGCCTCTTTTCTCTGCTCTCCCACTTTCATTGGTTTCACTCCCTCTTTTTCAAAACAACTAGTGCTACTCTGGCTGCAGATTTTAAACTGTTTTGAAAGCCCTGGGTGAGGAAGAGAAGGAAAAGAAAGGAGGCAGGTCTCCTTGTAAAGCAGCTTTCCCTAACTCACCACCCCTTTGCTGGCTGAGAACAATGGGAGTTGAAGTCTAAAGCCTCTGGGAGGCAGGCAGTTGAAAGGCTGGTTCTTTTTGACCCCTTTGTCATGGTTGGAAAAGACCCATTTAATGAACCAAATAGTGTGTGTGTGTGTTGTGTGTGTGTGTGTGTGGAGAGATAGAGACTGGGGTTGTGACTACTGTAGGGTAAACTTGATCCAAAATTGGAGATAAACCAGAACTGGAGATAAACACTTTCGCTTGCTGCATGGTTCCTTTCTGCCCCTTTGTCTAATCCTTTCTTTTTCTCTCTCTCCTTTCTTTCTGTGCTTTACTCTGCCCAGACCTTTTGCCGACCTGCTTTATCTGGAAGATTCTTCTGGTCCTTACAGTTTGGATTCCACAGAGCACCCAACCCCAGGGACATTGGTTTGACACTCCCCCTTTTCCCCAAGGGGATCTATCTGGAGTGCTGTTTCTTTTTGTTTTCCTTTTTCGCACTGGTGCCTCTCTTTTGGGTGTGATGCACCATTGTGGGGATGGGGGCTCCCTGCTGGCAGGGCAGGTTTCCACATGTGTGAGGATGGGTTGTTGCATGTCACACTGGACACATGATGGGGGGATAGGAGTGTGTCCATAGTTCTTCCTACAATTGTTAACCTCCCCCATTCCAGACTTTGTGGGGTAGGCAGGAGGGGGGGAAATCTGTGTTTACTGTACTACTTCTCCATAAAAGGGTTTTTCTGCTGTGGGTGGCGCCCTCTTGTGTTCACTGGAGAACAGTGCACTGTTACTGCCATGGTGCTCCGTGTTGGGGTGTAGCATTATAAACCCTGGACCCTGGAATGTATAAATGGAGAGGTTTGTGCAATGTGTGTTTCTTGTGAAATGTTATATAGCACAGACCTGTCATCTTGCTAATGAACATCAGTCCTGTAAAAAGTAGAAAAAAAGAGATCTATACCACTCCCGTTGCCCTCACTGTGAAAAACTTAGTTTACCCTTCAATGTATTGTCCCTTCCTACACATATCCTGCTCTTGCAAAGCCCTGAGTGAGGAAAAAAATGCGTAGGGGTTTGGGAAATGTTTACCGGATCCATTGGATGAACTTATTTCACGGCCCAACCTTTCTCCTAGCAGGGGAACTCCACCATAGTGCTAGATATAGGAATGCAGTGATTGGCTTCACCCATTCAGTTTAGTTATTACCTCTCACAGGGGGAGGGGGCAGGAGATCCCAGCTGAAGGCATAACACAGTCTGATCTATGGGGTGGGCTATGGGAAAGGCCAGCTGATTCCACGTGGCCTTCCCCAAAACTGCTGTGGGTGTGCCTGCGTGTATCAAAACCCAACTCTCACTGGGAATGGGTTGCACCAATTGTAACCGGCAATGCAATCTTTTCATTTTTCTAAAAGTACAGCTGCACACTGTTTTCTGCCCTCTAGACTGGACTGGTTATTTTCTCCTGCATCCTTCGTCTGACATGCTTTCTGCCTTCTCCCCCAATTTTTTCAAAACTGGAAGGAACGTCTTGCCTTTTTCCTTTCACTGTAATAATAACCATTATCATCCTCATAATAATTGTAAAGTGTGTGATGGTTTTCCCCTGCTCTCAACAATTGCACATAAAAGGAACAGCCACTTTGTTTAAACTCTGTGCCAATGGAATCCAGGTCATTCTGGAGCAGAGAGAGGGAAGGAGGGAGGATGAGAGAACCCAAGAGAGGCTCCGGTTTTCTCCCCCTCCCATCCCTGGCTGAAGGAACAAGGGCCATACTGGAGTCACTGTCTTGTGTGTCTTTTTAATATACACTAATGTATAGATTATATATGGGGATCTAAATGTAAAGCTGAGCACTGTGTATAAGGAGAGAAGGTTTCTATAATAAAGATTGTCAACGAGGCTGTGATGTGCGAAAGCTTCATGTCAGCATCAGGATCATGGTGTAGACAATACGGGATAGTGATTAGACAGCATCTGATCTGTGAGCTAAAACTTCACTTAGTAACCGGAACATCTTGTGGCTATTTCAGCATGACTGGCCTTGAGGAATGGATACGAAAACAAAGCAGATAGGAATGTGCCACAAATGCCTCAAAGTTTTCCTCATGGAGAAAAAATGGCTAAAAGAATCTGCTCCGTTTAATTTGGTTAGGATCATCAAGGGGTAACATCGACAGGGAGGAACCCACTTTGATTATAATAGAATTCAATGATGCACACATCTGAAAGAAGATGTTTTTAAACGTTTCCAGCTCACAGGGTATTGGATGTACAACTTTTGTGTAAGCCACTTAGCTAATTGTCAGGGCTTTGCTAATCCTTTGCCTTGTAGTTGGCAACATGCAGGACTGTTTTATGAAGCAACTTTTTTGAATCATTAAAGCTGCTCACATCTGGTGCAGCTGCTTTGAAAGCTGCTCCTGTCTCTTTCGGCAAAGGCACTGGACTTGCAAAGTGGTTGTAGAGCAAAAAAGGCAAGAAATGTAAGGCTACAGTGTGAAACGGTGTCATGAAAATCACAAGACTTTATTTCCCATATGCAGAGGGTTTAAAATGGTACACTTAAATTTGTTTTACTTCTGAGAAAAATGTAACTTATGCTGTTCCTTGTCTCATTCCTATGCATCTGGCCCTGAATGTTCAACTGTACACATTGGGACAATGAGATCGGTCTACATTTCTGAAAAGCTCCTTTAATCAAATTTGAGGATTTCCACACGAGCAGCAGTCTTCAAAGTTGACTCTTCTGTAATAAAAAACTGCATTTACATACAGACAGGACACTATGAAAAGCTAAACACTCTGAAAACCTTAATCTAAACTATCATGATTACAATCGAAAACTATTCTGCAATTCTATTGCTAGTTGGAAAGATGTCCTAGTAATTTTGGCACGTATAAAAATATAAAAACAGAGGGAGCCCACATTTCAACACTGTAATCGACAAACTTAAAGCCTCAGAGACATTTGGTGAAACCAGCATTTCCCCATCCTTCAATAGACTGTTCAATGGAGGGCACTCTTCACCACCTGGTTCATGATTTCTTCCTGGCAAACCCCTCACACCATCTCCAAGAGCTGAGCAAGCTAAGAGAAAGCCACTTCCCATATCAGATGTTTCCTTTTTAAGCCTGCATCTCTTTCACTAACCCAGGAAGAAATCCCAAAATGAAAAACAACGATCCCTTCTAACGGCAGCTGTACACATTTAACTTTAGTTTCTTCAACTTCAATTAGGTGGTCGGATTTGTACGTGCGTGCTCTACAGGTGAGGAATGCAGCCTCTAAAGAATGAGGGAACATTCATAACCCACCACTGGGATTATGTGTCAATATTTGTTACATAATTTTACTGAGTTGTGCGTGATAAGAACATCTTTCAGAAAAACACAAAACTGTAATTTCCCACTTAGAATAAAGCATCTGTTAATTTATTTCCCCTTTCCCATAATCACCTAGTATAGAATGCAGACCTACAAATGGGGGCATATGTGTTTTGCATCCTGCAGTAAAGTTGCAAGAGGCTTGCCTCACATCTTAACTGATTCATCCAGGTATGACTTAGAGAAAAAGCTTTTTTTATGATGCCTCATGACAACTTGGTAGAAAATGATACCACATAGTTTCTTACCTACTGCAAAACTATGTAGGCAGGAAGAGAAGTCTACTTATATTTGTATATTTATACATAAGTATACACGATACTTACGTATTAAACAGAACATTTCTAACAATGACTATATCAAGAACTGCAAACTATATACCAGGAAGTCCTCTGCTGGGATAACCAATGTGGTGCCTCCAGTTGGGTTTGATTATACCCTATACTGCTTAAATACTGACCATATCATGAGCATCCCGATTCCAGCAGTCCCAGTTTGAGCATGCTATAAGGTCTCTCTGATTTAACAACTCTAAATCTCCCTCCATATTAAAGTGGAACCGAAAGGGTGAGCAAAGTTGACAACTCACTTCAAGAGAAGTATCATTGGCTTCACTCACTAGTCAACTGCATTTTTATCACAATGAGTTGTATGAATCCAGATGAAGTGGTTAATTTATGGAGCAAATGTGTTCTGCAAATTCAGAAAGACTTTGTGTTATACACTTGTATGGGTCAGTTTACGACCCATTCCTCACAGGTTTTAAAGCTTTTTTTCCCTTCAGTTTCAGCCAAGGGACTTGGGAATTGTTCCAAATACTTGCAAAGCCAGTAACCTGCCAACCCCTGCACTACATCATTAAATGAAAGTTCAGGAGATGGTGTAGATAATGAGATTTGATGGCTGAAGTGAGCTATTAAGGTTCCTGGCTTGGGAAAAGTAAAATACCCAACAACTAGCTAGCAGATGTCATGAGACACAAAAATTATATCTGGCGTATGACACACATATTCTACCAAGTACAAAGGCAAATTGAAGCTGCCCACATGCAGTTCCAAAGGCAACTCCCCAAACAGCCAGCCAGCCCCACTGATCACTAAGACTGAAAAGACTTGAAGGAACCAGGCTAAGTAGTCAAAGTTTGATCAGAAGTGGAGTTAATGGTTGTTATATTCTGCTACATAACTAATAGGGTCCGTGCCTTTCCTTCTAGAGACCAAAAAACCAGAGAGTGTAGAAGGATTCTTCTTAAATGATCATAAAAGCTTGGATGGAAAGTCCTTTTTAAGCAAAACTATGTCTTTAATTATTGCTTCTTCCCATCGTTTTCAAAACCACATGATCAAAAGAATAGGATCAGTATGGACCATCTCATTTGTATATATTGTACACTACTTAGAACTGTGCAGAATTTCAGGTTGGGTCTATTCTCTTTAAGTATTGTACAAGAACCATCTGAATTCCAAATGACCTGAATATAGTTGTGAGATAAAATAGCTGCATTCACACATAATTGTAAAGCCAGATTTGGGATTATGATCTGGGATTATGCTTTACGCATAATGTGCACATTAAACTAATCTAAAAGTAAACAAATTGAATTGCACTTTATTGCTACGCAGGAGCCAGGACAAAGTTTGAAGTTTTCTACAGTAATTTGGTCTTGGAAAGAAACAAAAGTTCTTTTGCTTCTTAAATACACTCAAAAGTGGGGGGGGAGGCAGGTCCACATCTTTGAACTGGAATGTATAGTCTGCAATATCTTATTAAGGTTATCAGATCTGGGCTGCAGAAATGCAATCTCCAGATGCTAATTTAGGTATTAAAATAAACAAATTACCATTTGATGCCATTCTGTGGGTATTTTGCACATCATAATAATCTCCTTTACCACCACTTGAGAGTTAGCTTTCCCTTTTGCATTCATGAACAAAATCCTCTTAAAATTAATAAGTGATTACCCTCCATCCTTCATTCAAAGGTTTAGCTAAATCTTCTCCAGATTGGCTTGTATCCTTTTGCTGCCAAACCTCATACAGGCTGCTTTACTTGGTGCCTCCGTCTAAATACCAAGAGTTCAGAATCTCTAAGAGGCAGCAATGCAGTTCAAGAGCAAGCAAGATAAATACTCATCCTAACTTTCCTATTTCAACCTTAGCTCTGCTATGAACATATGGGGTGGGGGTGGGGGTGGGAAGGCTGAAGCATTCTGCTCTACAAAATCTCAGCCCACTAAATGATATAGGCCTAAGTAACGGGGTTGTCCTAATACTGTTTCTGAAGCCCTTAGAGCAGTGGCATTATGCAAATAATGAATAATACATTGAAAGCCCCCCAAATAATAATCCAGCCATCTCTGGAACAGCCTCCTGCAATCCAGGAAATTCCCAGCTAACTGGAACATTTGGAAAGTGTAGTTTCGACACATCTGGACCACACCTTGTGGGAGAAAACTGAATTAGAACAACACTGATTTCATTTGGTTCTGATCTCAATTTTTGTCCTTCTTTCAACCAGCAACTTATTGGTTTACTATTGAGTTTTTTACTATTTACAATAATTTACTGTCGAGTTTTTCTTTTAAATTATAGTTTTCTTTCATTGTGATTCCTTCCTTTCCAAAGCAAAACAATATGGATTCTGATGGGGAATACTTAACATTAAACTGGAACGTTAGGCTGATTTCAGTCCATTTCCTCTCAGCGGCAGGCCAGGAGTTCTGCTGAGTTTGGTGTAAGCTGGAGGCAACTGTACCTTCCGCAGGAACTCAACGGCCAGGTTGCTAGATGGAGGCAAGCAGAGAAACAAGCAGCAGAGGCATCTGCTGGAAGGAAAAAGAGCAGTTCCAGAGGAAAGGGAAGCCAATGCTGATGGTCTAGGATCCAGCCTCTTGTTCTTGGCCCACAGCTTCCAGGAGTAGCCCCATCGGCGTGCGCTTAAGTCCAATGTTCTCCATTTTGTTCTCAATCTTGTTTTTAATGTTCCGCAGACGCAGGGAGGCATGGATGAGGCTCACTGAAAGGGAATGGGTTGCTCATTAGTAACAGAGGAATAGGCAGAACTACCTCCTCCCGCTTGGCACCAGAACCTCAACACACTCCCTATTCCAGTGGTTCTCAACCTTTCTAATGCCGCAACCCCATAATACAGTTCCCCATGTTGTGGTGACCCCCAACCACTTATACATCACCAGGTGCCAGGGGTGTGGCCAAAGGGGAAAAAAATGGCGGACAGCCTTGTTTGGCGACCCCCGTGAAATGGTTGTTCGACCCCAAATGGGGTCCCGACCCACAGGTTGAGAACCACTGCCCTATTTCCTTAAATTAGTCCTCCTGAATGGACAGTCAGTATGCTTAAATTCCTTAGCTAGGGGAAGATGCAGGGTGGGGAATCCCTGGCCCTTCAGATCAGTTTCAGTTTTATAAAAGAGACAGGGAGGAAGAAAGCCCACCAGAGTTTGCAAACCCAAACAAGCCAGCAAGCCAAGCTGTCAGCTTTCAGTTTCTCCTTTATTAAAAAAGCAAACAAACCAAAACTTGCCATCGTTTTCCTACTCAGAGTATATGGCATATAATAAGGGGGATTAAAAGCAGTGACACTTCTTGAAGTGCCACAGTTTTTTCGCTCCTGTAGATCATGCAACTTGTTTGAAGCCTGAGCAAAAATCTCTTCCCCATCTTCTCTCTACATGAAGCCACGGGCAGCATATAGGTTGCAGCATAAGATGGGAAAACAGCATTTGGCAGCGGTTGCTTCTATGTTTACCTATTGATCCTTACTACAGGGAAAGAAGAAATATGTCCTCTCATGCTAAATGAAATCCAATTCTCTTTGCTTGCATGTCTCACCAAAGTCCACCCTTGAAAAATTCTGCCCACCACATCCTGAGAATGAAGCATGCATTCTGCACAACCGTAAACAGATTGGGAGCGACACAACAGATGTAGGGAACAGCAGGCATACTGGCTGCACCGATGCCACATAGCCTTCCCAGGCTGAGAACTCACACATTATGGGCAGAGCGATGAAAATCAAGAAGGTGGCAGAGCCTTCGAAAAGAGACACCAGGAAATACGCAGCACCAAGGATGGCAAAGAAACACAGGCCAGGATAATTCCGCCGGAAGCGTCGCATGGGAGGGTTGTTCTCAGCGGCCCAGACAAAACCTCCAAAGAGCAGACACAGGAGTAGGCAGCTTAGCAGAATCAGCATAGGTTGGAAGTACCTGCAGAATGAGACCCCCAGAGTCAATCTTCACTTCAGCCCATAGGGGAGTACCATATGCAATTCGGATGTGCATTCAATCCAGAAGATGTTTTTGGGTGGCCCACTCTAAGGACCTCCTGTAGTTGCTGATGGTTTGGGATCTCCCAAACATCTGGAGTGAGGGAAATGGATGAGGAACATGGCCTGAAGGTCCCTCTGGTGCATTTGCTGAGGGTCCCAGATCTGAGGGGGATGGTGTCTATAGAGACCTTCCAATGGAAGACCATTCCAAAGAACCAGCCCTATATGGAAAAATGCTTCCAGGCTTTGTTCCCCTTGAACAAAGGTGAACAAAGCCTGTTTTCCTCCTGAAAACAGGGAATTATCACCCGCTTCTTCTGCACAATCAGATCTGTAGGCCACCTCCAGTGGTGGGAACTGGTGCTGCAATGAACTTAGAGCCAAGTTTTTATGCATTAAAACCAGCAGTTTAAAATCAACTTGGAAGCTACTAGGGATGCTATGGAGAGACTTCAGTGCAACTGTGAGCCCCTGGACTGTTGCATTTGGTGCCTATTGAAAGTTTGGGTTAGTCTTGAAAGGCAGCCCTATGTACAGGGAGTCCTCCACTTACGGCCACAATTGGGAATCAGAAGGTCCATTGCTAAGAACAAGGTGTCGTTCAGTAAGTGGTGCCTCATTTTATGAGCGTTTTCGCCACAGTTGTCAAGTGGGAATCACTGCTGTTGTTAAGTGAGTCACACAATCACTAAGCAAACCTGGCTACCTCCACTGGCTTTCATAAATTGGGTTGGGAAGGTCGCCAATGGCAACCGGATGGCCTTGAGCGGCCAGAACCCTTGTGAATGAATACAGGCCGATTGCCAAGTGCCCAAATTTTGATCACGTGACCATGGAGATGCTGCAGTGATTGTATACATGAAAGGACCAGGTCATAAGTCACTCTTTTCAGTGCCGTTGCAACTTTGAATGGTTGCTAAACAAACAGTGGTAAGCCAAGGATTACCACCTGATCCGTGTGTCACACTAATCTAGGCAGGGCGATGAGGGCAATGAGGCCCAGTAGCAAGGTCCTTACATCCAGGTAAAGGTGAAGCTGGCACACAAGGTAAAGATGGGCAAAACCTCCCCACTGCATCCACTGGGTTGCTCCAGTCAGAGTCAAACTACCCCCTTGTAGCTTCACATGGATAAATACTGAATAATGGAAGAGAGAACTTGACCCCTGTGGTACAGATACACTTTGACTGACAACCATTTGTTTAGTGACTGAAGTGACAACAGCACAGAAAAAAAATGACTTACGACTGTTTTTCACACTGATGACCATCGCAGCCTCCCTGTGGTCATGTGATCAATGTTCAGACACTTGGCAACTGGCATGCATTTATGACAGTTGCAGTGTCCCGGGGCTTTTTTTTTTTTTTTTTTTTGGCATACTGCAGCATCAAAAAAGCCCGGCGTGACTCTGCAGCCAGGCCAGTCATGCCTTGCCAGAAGTGGGAACAAGAAGATGGCGAAGGTGAGCTGGAACAGCAGAGTGCAAGGTGGGGATGGCAACTGCAGCTGGGACCGGGGTTTCCTGGGGTGTGGCAACTAGCCCCAGAGCTGCACAATTCCAGGGCTGCTTGCTGCCCTGTAAAGCAGGTTGCATGGTGGTCAAAAGGGCAGAGATGGGGAGAGAGGCAGACAGAGGGGAGTTGGAAGCAGCCTCTTAGCAAGGTTGGGAGGACCAGGCTCAGAATGACTTGGATTGGGGTGGGTCCCCAGCTTATGACTGGTGGAATTCATTTATTAAGGGCAATGGGAAGTGCCATCACTAAGAAATAGTGATAACAGTCACATGACATTGTGTCCTACGACCACATCACTTAATGACAAGAGACTCCATTCCCAATTATGGCCTCAAGGGTACCATAATTGCCACTACCATTCAATCTCTCCGTCCCTACCACTACAAGTAAGTGGCATGTGGAAGACCACTGTTATTTCAAGCAATTTAATGACATATTTTGATTTCATTTTCCCATTTAAAAAAGTCTAGAAGTTTAGCGCTCATTCCCTGCTGGTTTTTAAGGAGGGGAAGAAATCTTCATGTAGCTTCAAAGTTTTTCTTGCTGTGAAAGTTTCAGACTTTTGATTCCCATCTTAGAGTCATGTGCCACTCAGTCAAGGACAGATCTTATAGTCTCCTGACCACAGCAAGGCCTTGAAGTCATGGTGACAGGTTTTGATAAAAACCTCGGGGTTGTTTTTGTTTCCATTGGGTACTGTGAAAATTGGCCACCCTTGGTGTACTTCTGTTATTAAGGAGCTCCTAAGTGGAGCTTGTAAGGGATTTGAGTTTTATCCTGCTTGATATGTATGCTTTTTTAGGTTATGCTGTTTAATTTGTTTGCTTTAGCTAATAATAACATTTAAAATCCCTTTATTTACTGGGGTGTTCATTGTCTCTGGTTCCCCCCCCCCCAAAAAAAAAAACCAATTGCCTGGGCACCTGATTTCTGCCCTGGCACTTGCCAAAACACTACTGACTAGAATAATCCACTAGAGCAGAAATACCATAAAAATGCCTCCAATCCACTGATGATGATCCAAAAGATACCAAAGTTCACTGAGAAAAGGGCCACCACAGATACACCAGCCCTATACAGGGGTCAGTGACAAAAGCTGTTTCAATAACATGCCTGAGCCTAAACTTTGACAGATAAGAATCCACACAATTCCATACTCAGCGTGTGGTCCTCAATGGAACCGCATCTACATGGAGAGAAGTGTGTAGTGGGGTGCCCCAGGGCTCTGTTCTGGGCCCAGTGCTCTTCAACATCTTCACCAACGATCTGGATGAGGGGATAGATGGGGAACTCATCAAATTTGCGGATGACACCAAGCTGGCAGGAAGAGCCAACACTCCAGAAGACAGGCTTAAGATACAGGAGGACCTGGACAGACTTGAACACTGGGCGCTATCTAACAAAATGAAAGTCAATGGTGAAAAAAGTAAGGTTCTACATTTAGGCAAGAAAAACCAAATGTACAGGTATAGTATAGGGGGTACCTTGCTCAATAGTAGTAACTGTGAGAGGGATCTCGGAGTCCTAGTGGACAATCACTTAAATATGAGCCAGCAGTGTGCTGCAGCTGCCAAAAAAGCCAACACAGTGCTAGGCTGCATTAACAGAGGGATAGAATCAAGATCACGTGAAGTATTAATACCACTTTACAATGCCTTGGTAAGGCCACACTTGGAATACTGCATCCAGTTTTGGTCACCACGATGTAAAAAGGTGTTGAGACTCTAGAACAGTGGTTCTCAACCTTTTTTTTCTGGCGACCCCGGTCATAAGGACGCGGCACGCATGCGCGGCACGCATGTGCGGCGTCGCCCCCATGCGCAGCGCGCATGCGCGGCGCAAATGCACAGTGCCGCCAGCTGACAAAAAAATGGCGGATCGCGTTGTTTGGCGACCCCCATTATATGGTCGTTCGACCCCAAATGGGGTCGTGACCCACAGGTTGAGAACCACTGCTCTAGAAAGAGTACAGAGAAGAGCAACAAAGATGATTAGGGGACTTGAGGCTAAAGCATATAAGGAACGGTTGCTGGAATTGGGTATGTCTAGTTTAATAAAGAGAAGGACGAGGAGGGACACGATAGCAGTATTCCAATATCTCAGGGGCTGCCACAAAGAAGAGGGAGTCAAGCTATTTTCCAAAGTGCCTGAAGGCAGGACAAGAAGCAACGGATGGAAACTAATCAAGGAGAGAAGCAACCTAGAACTAAGAAAAACTTACTGACAGTTAGAACAATTAACCAGTGGAACAACCTGCCTCCAGAAGCGGTGAATGCTCCAACACTGGAAGTTTTTAAGAAGAGACTGGACAGCCATTTGTCCGAAATGGTATAGGGTTTCCTGCCTGAGTAGGGGGTTGGACTAGATGACCTCCAAGGTCCCTTCCAACTTTATCATTATCATTTTCAAAGAGCTATTCAAACATAGTTTTTCAGAGCAGCATTTGCAGACTCTGCTGCCTGGGGGACCCAGGAAGACTATCTCGTTGTTACAGTTATGCTACAGAGTAGACTTTCCTCGCACTGTAGTTTTAAATTTGAGTACCAAAAGCCCAGGAAGCAGCTCCAATTTGCCATCTTCCAGATGCGTTACGATTACAATTCTGATTTCCCATTTGTTGGCCATGCCGGTTCCATCGCCCGCAGTTCCCCCCCTACCCACCCCAGGGTTATTAAAGACACAGGCCCTTCTTTCCGCATTGGCCCATCGTATTAATGTTCAAAAATTGCAGGAGCATTTTAAGAAAAAAAAAGTGGCAATTTCCCCGCTTACATCACTTTTTTCCCTTCCCAAGATTGAAGTGGAGATTGTTCTTAGTTTCCGTATCCCACCTTCGGATGATGAAATGTTTTCTCCTAAGAAGCTCGGATTTAAATGGCAGTAAAAAAACAAAAAAAAACAAAAAGCACCCCGCCCTTCCCCATCTTAGTTCGGCCCTTCGCCTCTACCAACTAAGCCTCCCTATTGTTCGGTAACCGAGTCTCTCCCTCCCCCCCTCCCAGCTCCCCACGCCCGATCCTCGCCTCCCGCCGGACTTCGCACAACCGGACTCTCCTTCTGCCGGCCGTGCTCCGCCCGCCGCCGTGGCACTCACCCGCCCAGCAGCAGCCCCGCGGCCAGCAGCAGCAGGTAATTGCTCTGGTAGTACAAGAGGTTGTTAACCACGCGATTGTGCCAGCGCTGCAGATCCCGCACGTCGGGGGCAGCCAAGCGAGTGGAGCCTAGGAGAAAATCATCCAGCCCCCGAATTGGGGGCAGCCGCACCTCGGACATCTTCGCTAGCTCCGGGCGGGAGAACTTCCATCCCCACAATGCATTGCGGCGATAGACCTGGCGGCAGGAAGACATGGAAACAGGAATGTTGTGGAGGAGACGGGGCAGGGCGTCGCCTTTAGCCGCCGCTGGACTCGCTTTCTTTTCCTTGCCTTCTGTAACTCAGGAATATGAATTGCCTCACAGCAACAAGAAAAGATACGGCTCCTCCAAGGAAACGTTGAGGACTTCTACAAAGACCTGGAGGCAACTGTAGAAGCTGCTTATTGGTACAATAGGCTAAGCTGCCTGAAAAGTCTGGCGTGGCTTTTGAAAACAAATTGGGATGGGCCAAATAAATAGAAATGAAAGAAAGCGAGATGGGCTTTTGTGGCTTCTTCTGCTGTATTATCTTAAATATTAAATGGATTGATGGATCAATGACTCCAACTCCTTGCCAGATGCAAATTTCCTTTGTTACAGTATCCCCCAGATGTGGCCATCTGGCTTCTATTTCACTGTGTCCAGTAAAGCGAAGTCCACCTCAGTTTCACTATTGGTTACCATTAGGATTTTTCTGATTTTAAACCAAAACCTACACTGTGTGAACATGTTTTTTGGTCCTATTCTTGAAACAAGTCTAAAAAGCTTGCCTTTTCTACAGCTCTTCAGATACCTGGAAACAATCATTGCGTCTCTCCATTGCCTTCTTCAGCTAAGTGCCTCCAGTATGTTTTTCCTTAGAGGCCCTCATCTTGATCACCCTCCTCTGGAAATGCTTCAGTGTGTCAATCTTCTTCCTAAAATGCAGTGTCTGGAACTGGATATATCATTCTAGTGCAGGGGTAGGCAACCTTAGCTCTTTTATGACTCGTGGACTTCAACTCCCAGAATTCCTGAACCAGCCATGCTGGCTCAGGAATTCTGGGAGTTGAAGTCCACGAGTCATAAAAGAGCCAAGGTTGCCTACCCCTGTTCTAGTGTGTCCTGAGCAATGCACAATAGAAAGGAAGATGGCTTGTTTTTCTTGATCCCAATACTGTTCTTCAGTTGAAGTTTAGGGCAGGCTTTGCTTTTTTTATTTTCAGCAGCACCACATCTACCTCTGACTCTGATCCATCAAGATTCCCCAAATCTTTTTTTTCCTGTGCTCTACCCAATATGATCCTCCATCTTCTACCTCTGATTTTTGAAATTCACCTTATTAGTTTCCACCCAATGTTCTAGATTTTGGAGATTCTCCTGAATCTTGATACTGTCTGGTAAGATGTTAGTTCCTGTGTGATCAACAAACCTTGGAGAAGGGGAGTGTCATGGGAAAGACAGAACAGGCACAAAAGACATAATAAATAAATGCCAATGCTGGTATTGGAAGGTTGGGTTTTTGCTTTGTATCATTGCAGTCCCATTTGTGTCTGGTCTTTCTTTTTCCAGAAACATCATTCCATTTATAAGATGCTCACATTGAGCTTATTGTATATTGGAGCCTGATCATGTCAGTAATCACTCTCAGCTACCACTATTGCTCACAGAAATTCTCGGGTTTTTTCTTCACAGCTATTCTCCTACATGTATGACATCAAACCATAAGGCAGTTTTAATGTAGTATGATGTGCAAATGGAGTCAAAAGTTGAATGTCCCTCAAGTGCTAAGAAAATAGCAAATTTTTCACCGAACAATGTTGTAAGATTTCTAGCTATGTGACAGAATTGAATTTAATAAATACACAAATAAAATGCTAGAAGCTTTTTTTGAAAAAAAAAAAATTAAAAAGTCCAAAATCTCACCAAATCTTATTGGTTCTTAATCTTACAAAAATTCTTGTAAGACAATAAAGAACTTGGGAGATTTTCTGACTTCAAAAAATTCTGCTCAGCGTTTATTAATTAGAATGGCAGGGGGATTCACAATGGCAGTTATGAGTGCTATACCATATTTATATAACTAAATACAATAATATTGTTATAGAGGTCAGAAAGAAGGCAGCACTAAAATTAATTAGTAGAAATGGAAAATAATTTATAGCCACACAATTCATATGATGTTTAAATTAGATAAAGAAGAAGAGCAGAAGTATCTGTGTGATTGATTTTCTGTTCTAATTTACCTGCTCTTATAGAAGTAATAAGGATCTAGTCCACCCTAGCCTTTTTCCTCTATGAGGATGAGTTGCTATCTAGCCTTCTCCAATAAAGGATTACATATAGAATGACATTTCCCACATACGTATAGACAATGGTTAAGATTTCACATCAGAATTTCAGTTCTTCAGAATGTCCTCCATCCTTTATTGATCACAGAATGTCAATTAAACAACATAAACATCTGTTCATGATTCTTAATGTTAACTGTGCCTTTTTCCTTCTCCCCAAATGCCCATCATTGTCGGGCGCATCCAGATACGTACCTCCTAAGGTACCAGAGTATAGGAAATACAGTGATTTGACAAGTTCTTGCTCCCCAAACTCAGCTGTATTTCTCAGTCCCACATGAATATGGCAGCTGAGCTAAAGCAGCAATAATAACAGACTTCTGGAAAGGTGGCATCAAGAAATAAAGAATGCAGCTGTTCTCCAGAATTCACCCCCCCCCCCATCTTATAGCAAGGTTCTTTCTGCCTTTCCCATCTCAGCACTCTGAAAACCTCTGCATTGTATCTAATGATGGTCTTCTGCCAGCAGAATTCCTGTTCCCTGCAGCTTTCCCCCACACCTCCAAATTTGTTAATGGAATATTAAGGAACCTCCTTTGGGGGCAAAGGTGGAGAGGAGAGGAAACTCCTGTTTGCTGCTTGTGCAACACTGGATTTCAATGCTTCAGCTTCACATGCTTTTGCCTGAACAATGAGAATAAAGCTACACTCAAAAGTCATCATCGTCGCATATATCCAAGTAGACATCAAAGGCCTCACGGTTGCAATTTCCATCGGGAGTGAAGACATACTTATGGAAAGTACCATCCACACAGATAGCTGTTAAGAGTAGGAAACAGAATTGAATGTGGGTGAGAGATCAAGAATGGCATTCATGAGAACTCAACGCACGAAGAGATCACATGGCAGAAAATCTACAGTGGTGCCACTAATAAATATAAGAAAACCAAACAGGAAAGGGAGGGAGGGGGTCTTTAACCTAAAGCAGACCGCTTTGCCATACTCAATGGCAGCACTGGATCCGGGTCATGATTGCATGTGATATGCTTGAGGAGGCCCAACACATCTACTGCCTCTCATCAATGCCACTCACCAATGACCGAGTTGACGTTCTTGGAGGTGTTTCTCCCAAAAGCGCAGATACAAGCAGACTCCGCTGGCACAGTGAAGCTGGCCAGGCTCCACTGAGAATCCACATACTGACCTATCATAGGCCCAACCTTTCCCACACGAGCCAATCTGCGAGGGAGCAGGAGAAAGAATGGGATTAAAAGTATTACTGGTGACCGTCTTCCATACCCATTATATAACACCATCCTCCCTGCCCCCACACTACGTACGCTGAGCGGCGATTTAATCGGGTGTCTTTCAAGGCAAAGATATGGACAGTCCCTTTGTCACTGGATGCACAGAGAAATGAAGAGTCGTGGCTGAAGTTAATGCTGTGGGGAAGAAAGGAGTTTCACCTGACAATTCAAGGTTTCTTCCTATGATCATGTCACTATAATAGCAAATGCCTTCTTTTCAGTACGTATTACTCCTGGAGAGGAGCCGGGTAAAATATCCCTCGACCGAGCATCCCTTCCCAGAAATATTGGGAATGCAACTCCCATAATTCCTAGCCTGCCTAGCTAGGGAGTAGGAGTTATAGGGACATCAATATGGCGATGCCCCATCCCAATCAATTAAATCCTTGGCGGTTTACATAGTAGAAAACAAAACAGCCACAAAACATAAAACGGAACTTTGTAACCGTGAAATAAGAACGAAATAACAAAAAACAACATAGGGTCCCAAGCAGATTAAAAACGGTTTTGTGAAGAGCTCTGTCTTCAACATCTCCCAGAACGTCCTTGCAAACCCAATCCAGGCTGAACTAGGTTGCTCTGTATTAGGAGTTTAGCAATTCCTAAAGCTGCTATTCTTGCCCACTCCAGACCACTGGGGCCTCTGAGAACACAACCAGACCTTGAATAGGATCATCTCACTGACACCCAGAACCCATAAGGAAAAATCTATTGCAGTGTTTCCCAAACTTGACAATTTTAAGGCAGGTGGACTTCAACTCCCAGAATTCCACAGCCAGCATTGCTGGCTGTGGAATTCTGGGAGTTGAAGTCCACCTGCCTTAAAATTGTCAAGTTTGGGAAACACTGGTCTATTGGAATGGGCCAAGAGCCTGCCAATTTTACCAGTCTCTGAGATGAAACCTCTGAGAAACACATTAACAAGAAACGGGAGCGGCACCTATTCATAGAGTTGTTAAACTTGGACCAAGTCCACAGATATTGCCTTCAGCAGATTGTATCTCCATGCTATGCGAAGTTTCACTTGCTGAGTTTGCAAGCTTGCTTCACTTGTTACATAATAGCAGCCCAGGGTCCCTCACTTGTTTGCAACTACTGTAGACGTGTTGCTTTTTAGCTAGCAGAACAAACCAGTCTTTCTAACTGTGACCTGCAGTATTTGCTCTTCCAGTAGTAGTGCATTGATTAGTTCGATCTGCATGGCTTTTCCATTTGACAAATAATTCTCTATGGTAAACAACAAACTTAAAACAATGAAAAAAACAGCAAATTTACCTAGGGTAGCACACATATCTGCATCGCTTACCCTCTAAAAATAGTACTCTGTACTAAGGCAAAAGACACATTTTGAAACTTAAGAAGCAGGAAAGGTTTGAAACCTGAAACCTTATTTTTCCATGTGCAGAATAAACCCATCCAGAATCATGATCGCTATAATAAGGTGGTTTGATCTGGTCTCACCTTCTCAATTCAAAGCTACCTTCAAAAGTTAATAATATTCATCCTAATTCCATTGTGCCATTATCTGCCTCTGCTACAATCCCTCTGTGAGATTTGCCTCAGTTAGAAGCCTCACCGTAGTACTTCATGATACAGGGCCTGGCATTTCCCAAGAAGTGGCATTAACAAGACTATCAGTTTCTCACCCCAAAACCTGTAAATCAGGGGTATCAAACTCACCACGTCAGGTGACGTGTCATGACATATCGCAGCTTCTGTGTGGTGCATCCAGCCGGCAGGCCGGCAGTTTGACACCCTGCTGTAAATAATTCAGCAATGCAGCTCATTCCCCTGTCTATTCTTTCACTTGTCTCCAGCAGTTGCAATTAACAGATTATTTATTTCTCCACTGCAGGCTTACACTA